GGATACTGACCAAAAAGACTGAAAAACACGGGGGACTATAACAAACAATCAAATCAAGAAATAATCAGCAAAATAATGTCATTGCATTAAATAGTCACCTGAAACTAGACGCTAAAACAAGCCTACTCAAATTCACATAACTCCTTTTGACCCTGCCAAATATCCAAAACAATCTTGCTACCAACTTCATTAACATCAAAAAACCCTATCTGATATTGCAACACCTCAAGATCCCAACAACTGGATGCTATCACCAAGCTCTGAAAGCCAGGTAGAAAAAATATGACAGTTAGCACATTACACATCTGCTCCGGAGCCGAGCTGTTACGTTTGGTCACATGTGCTTGACAAGGTAATCGGATCAGTGATACATTTCCATCATTCCTGCCGACAAAGTGGACGGGCTTTAAAAGACATGTTATACACGGGAGCTCTGCACTACAGAACCCTGGACATGCAGTTAAGTTGTTATTAAACCAAGGGCAGAGCGGGATCACAAGAAGAGAAAGAGGAGGGGACCGGACGAGGGGGAGGCAGGGGTCGGGGGGCGTGATAAGTTGGCATACACGCAGGGGGCAAACACGATGACTGGGAAAACAAACTAGTGCAAAGCCAACTTACCTAGATCCTGTAATACTCTCTATTGATGACAGTACCAAACGGGAGGGAAGCCGTGGATTGACACATTTTAAAGAGTCCAATATGGTTGTTAGACTTAAACTGCTCAGTGTCAAGAATGAAAACACCAAACAACAAAAACATGCGTCAGCAGTTGTCTGTACTGCCTACCGAACACCGTATGGATTTGATATTTAAAGTGCCACGGGGGGGACACCCAGTGCCCACACTTGGGCGGCCTTAATTATTCCCACATCTTGATCGAAAGCACAATATTAAATTCTCGCACACCAATCACCACAGTCTACTGTAACCACTGCCATGCTTTGCCATTTGCTGTATCCTCCTCCCAACAAGTTTTAAGGAGTACTGAGCCAAAAAGACTTGAAAACACCGGACTAAACAAACAATCAATTAGTCAAGAAATAATCAGCAAAATAATTGTCAGTTGCACGTTGAAATATAGTCACTGAAACCAAGACGTCTAAAACAAGCTCTTACTCAAAGTTTAATATATCTTTTGACCTGCAATTACCAAAAACAATCTGTGCTTACCAATTATTAACATAAAAAAACCCATTGATATTGCAACACCTCAGATTCCCAACATGGTCAGTGGTTATCAGCAGCTTGAAAGCTCAGGTAACAGAAATATGA